TGTCTCAGCACCTTTGCAGTTCATGGCAGCTGCTCTTTTCATCTGGGCAGCTCGTACCAACAGAAAGGAATTCACTCTCTTGAAAGCATACCGTGTAGCATAGTAAATGCTGCTATGCAAGTATTAGGTTTCCATGTGACACACTCCCCTCAACTCTTATTACTTTTATTGTTCTTTTAGACAGAAATTTGGCCTCGTACTGCTTTCTTCTTGCCAGTTGATACAGTATAGCTTGGAGGCCCTGAAGACAAAGACCTTTGGGCTGAATGACCAAACTTTGCCAGAAGTCTGCAGAACTTGGTTTCTAAAAAATGGTTTTTAATATATATATATATATATGTAAGTTTTCTTTAGTTGACTTTTCTTTGAATATCCTCTTAGTTAAATGTATATTTTCTCTTAATTTTATTACTCTATCAGCCTGACAGAGGATATAGGGAAGGCGTTGTGATGTGGAAGTGAGATAGGAAAAGATGCAGGTAGGCAAGAATGGGAACTGCGGAGAGGAAATTATAAATAATCACTGTTTGGGCACTCTCCATAGGCCATAGAGGAGACAAGACACGTGGAGAAAGAGGAACCTGTCTTATGGAAGTACTGTAGTTAAATCAGTGCTGTAGCTTATCTTTGGGTCTCTTACTCTTGCTAGATTGTTACTTTCTATGGCTTCCACCAAAACTGATGTAAGCAGAGCAGCTGGCCCTGGAAGTGGTTGCACAGCACACTTTGCTAAACAGAGAAACTGTGCTGCTTTTGCTGTGAAAGAGAAGTTTCCCTATGTGGAACTTCTTGCTATGCTAGGTACGCTGCTTCCAGGTACCTGCACTACCTGTGGTCGTGCGCTCTAATCTTGTGCTTTTGCTTGTAGTGAAATAAGGCTTTCCTATCTCCTGTTGTATTGAAGGCAAACCTTTACAACCTTTTTCACTTGGAATTTGATTTAGTATGTGTGTGTATATGTACATAATACAAACTTTTGTAAATGCTCTTATTTTACCTATGTAGCACATAACAGGGTTTGTTTTTTTTAAAAGGTGCTGCTCAATTCCCACCTTGTCTCAGATCTATTGGTTAAGTGAAATAAAACAGTCCTCAGAAACTTCTGATGTTGTGTGGATTTGTTGGGATAGGGAAGGAGTACACTAGAAGGACTGGGGGAGGAATGGGGGAAGGGGGAGGAGAACTATGCATCTCTCTGTAGTCAGGGAAATATCACCAAAAACAAATACATTTTGTTAGGCGTGTGGATGGCGTGTGGATGGCGTGTGGATGGCGTGTGGATGGC